CCCTCCTGCTGCCCTCCTGCTGTCCTCCTTCTGCCTTCCTGCTGCCCTCCTGCTGCCCTCCTGCTGCCCTCCTGCTGCCCTCCTGCTGCCCTCCTGCTGCCCTCCTGCTGCCCTCCTGCTGCCCTCCTGCTGCCCTCCTGCTGCCCTCCTGCTGCCCTCCTGCTGCCCTCCTGCTGCCCTCCTGCTGCCCTCCTGCTGCCCTCCTGCTGCCCTCCTGCTGCCCTCCTGCTGCCCTCCTGCTGTCCTCCTGCTGCCCTCCTGCTGCCCTCCTGCTGCCCTCATGCTGCCCTCCTGCTGCCCTCCTGCTGCCCTCCTGCTGCCCTCCTGCTGCCCTCCTGCTGTCCTCCTGCTGCCCTCCTGCTGCCCTCCTGCTGCCCTCCTGCTGCCCTCCTGCTGCCCTCCTGCTGCCCTCCTGCTGCCCTCCTGCTGCCCTCATGCTGCCCTCCTGCTGCCCTCCTGCTGCCCTCCTGCTGCCCTCCTGCTGCCTCCTGCTGCCCTCCTGCTGCCCTCCTGCTGCCCTCCTGCTGCCCTCCTGCTGCCCTCATGCTGCCCTCATGCTGCCCTCCTGCTGCCCTCCTGCTGCCCTCCTGCTGCCCTCCTGCTGCCCTCCTGCTGTCCTCCTGCTGCCCTCCTGCTGCCCTCCTGCTGCCCTCCTGCTGCCCTCCTGCTGCCCTCCTGCTGCCCTCCTGCTGCCCTCCTGCTGCCCTCCTGCTGTCCTCCTGCTGCCCTCCTGCTGCCCTCCTGCTGTCCTCCTGCTGCCCTCCTGCTGCCCTCCTGCTGCCCTCCTGCTGCCCTCCTGCTGCCCTCCTGCTGCCCTCCTGCTGCCCTCCTGCTGCCCTCCTGCTGCCCTCCTGCTGCCCTCCTGCTGCCCTCATGCTGCCCTCCTGCTGCCCTCCTGCTGCCCTCCTGCTGCCCTCCTGCTGCCCTCCTGCTGTCCTCCTGCTGCCCTCCTGCTGCCCTCCTGCTGCCCTCATGCTGCCCTCCTGCTGCCCTCCTGCTGCCCTCCTGCTGCCCTCCTGCTGCCCTCCTGCTGTCCTCCTGCTGCCCTCCTGCTGCCCTCCTGCTGCCCTACTGCTGCCCTCCTGCTGCCCTCCTGCTGCCCTCCTGCTGCCCTCCTGCTGCCTGCTGCCCTCATGCTGCCCTCCTGCTGCCCTCCTGCTGCCCTCCTGCTGCCCTCCTGCTGCCCTCCTGCTGCCCTCCTGCTGCCCTCCTGCTGCCCTCCTGCTGCCCTCCTGCTGCCCTCCTGCTGCCCTCCTGCTGCCCTCCTGCTGCCCTCCTGCTGCCCTCCTGCTGCCCTCCTGCTGCCCTCCTGCTGCCCTCCTGCTGCCCTCCTGCTGCCCTCCTGCTGCCCTCCTGCTGCCCTCCTGCTGCCCTCCTGCTGCCCTCATGCTGCCCTCCTGCTGCCCTCCTGCTGCCCTCCTGCTGCCCTCCTGCTGCCCTCCTGCTGCCCTCCTGCTGCCCCTGCTGCCCCTCTGCCCTCCTGCTGCCCTCCTGCTGCCCTCCTGCTGCCCTCCTGCTGCCCTCCTGCTGCCCTCCTGCTGCCCTCCTGCTGCCCTCCTGCTGCCCTCCTGCTGCCCTTCTGCTGCCCTTCTGCTGTCCTCCTGCTGCCCTCCTGCTGCCCTCCTGCTGCCCTCCTGCTGCCCTCCTGCTGCCCTCCTGCTGCCCTCCTGCTGCCCTCCTGCTGCCTCCTGCTGCCCTCCTGCTGCCCTCCTGCTGCCCTCCTGCTGCCCTCCTGCTGCCCTCCTGCTGCCCTCCTGCTGCCCTCCTGCTGCCCTCCTGCTGCCCTCCTGCTGCCCTCCTGCTGCCCTCCTGCTGCCCTCCTGCTGCCCTCCTGCTGCCCTCCTGCTGCCCTCCTGCTGCCCTCCTGCTGCCCTCCTGCTGCCCTCCTGCTGCCCTCCTGCTGCCCTCCTGCTGCCCTCCTGCTGCCCTGCTGCCCTCCTGCTGCCCTCCTGCTGCCCTCCTGCTGCCCTCCTGCTGCCCTCCTGCTGCCCTCCTGCTGCCCTCCTGCTGCCCTCCTGCTGCCCTCCTGCTGCCTCCTGCTGCCCTCCTGCTGCCCTCCTGCTGCCCTCCTGCTGCCCTCCTGCTGCCCTCCTGCTGCCCTCCTGCTGCCCTCCTGCTGCCCTCCTGCTGCCCTCCTGCTGCCCTCCTGCTGCCCTCCTGCTGCCCTCCTGCTGCCCTCCTGCTGCCCTCCTGCTGCCCTCCTGCTGCCCTCCTGCTGCCCTCCTGCTGCCCTCCTGCTGCCCTCCTGCTGCCCTCCTGCTGCCCTCCTGCTGCCCTCCTGCTGTCCTCCTGCTGCCCTCCTGCTGCCCTCCTGCTGCCCTCCTGCTGCCCTCCTGCTGCCCTCCTGCTGCCCTCCTGCTGCCCTCCTGCTGCCCTCCTGCTGCCCTTCTGCTGTCCTCCTGCTGCCCTCCTGCTGCCCTCCTGCTGCCCTCCTGCTGCCCTCCTGCTGCCCTCCTGCTGCCCTCCTGCTGCCCTCCTGCTGTCCTCCTTCTGCCCTCCTTCTGCCCTCCTGCTGCCCTCCTGCTGCCCTCCTGCTGCCCTCCTGCTGCCCTCCTGCTGCCCTCCTGCTGCCCTCCTGCTGCCCTCCTGCTGCCCTCCTGCTGCCCTCGTGCTGCCCTCCTGTTGCCCTCCTGCTGCCCTCCTGCTGCCCTCCTGCTGCCCTCCTGCTGCCCTCCTGCTGCCCTCCTGCTGCCCTCCTGCTGCCCTCCTGCTGCCCTCCTGCTGCCCTCCTGCTGCCCTCCTGCTGCCCTCCTGCTGCCCTCCTGCTGCCCTCCTGCTGCCCTCCTGCTGCCCTCCTGCTGCCCTCCTGCTGCCCTCCTGCTGCCCTCCTGCTGCCCTCCTGCTGCCCTCCTGCTGCCCTCCTGCTGCCCTCCTGCTGCCCTCCTGCTGCCCTCCTGCTGCCCTCCTGCTGCCCTCCTGCTGCCCTCCTGCTGCCCTCCTGCTGCCCTCCTGCTGCCCTCCTGCTGCCCTCCTGCTGCCCTCATGCTGCCCTCATGCTGCCCTCTTGCTGCCCTCCTGCTGCCCTCCTGCTGCCCTCCTGCTGCCCTCCTGCTGTCCTCCTGCTGCCCTCCTGCTGCCCTCCTGCTGCCCTCCTGCTGCCCTCCTGCTGCCCTCCTGCTGCCCTCCTGCTGCCCTCCTGCTGCCCTCCTGCTGCCCTCCTGCTGCCCTCCTGCTGCCCTCCTGCTGTCCTCCTGCTGTCCTCCTGCTGCCCTCCTGCTGCCCTCCTGCTGCCCTCCTGCTGCCCTCCTGCTGCCCTCCTGCTGCCCTCCTGCTGCCCTCCTGCTGCCCTCCTGCTGCCCTCCTGCTGCCCTCCCGCTGCCCTCCTGCTGCCCTCCTGCTGCCCTCCTGCTGTCCTCCTGCTGCCCTCCTGCTGCCCTCCTGCTGCCCTCCTGCTGCCCTCCTGCTGCCCTCCTCCTGTCCTCCTGCTGCCCTCCTGCTGCCCTCCTGCTGCCCTCCTGCTGCCCTCCTGCTGCCCTCCTGCTGCCCTCCTGCTGCCCTCCTGCTGTCCTCCTGCTGTCCTCCTGCTGCCCTCCTGCTGCCCTCCTGCTGCCCTCCTGCTGCCCTCCTGCTGCCCTCCTGCTGCCCTCCTGCTGCCCTCCTGCTGCCCTCCTGCTGCCCTCCTGCTGCCCTCCCGCTGCCCTCCTGCTGCCCTCCTGCTGCCCTCCTGCTGCCCTCCTGCTGCCCTCCTGCTGCCCTCCTGCTGCCCTCCTGCTGCCCTCCTGCTGCCCTCCTCCTGCCCTCCTCCTGTCCTCCTGCTGCCCTCCTGCTGCCCTCCTGCTGCCCTCCTGCTGCCCTCCTGCTGCCCTCCTGCTGCCCTCCTGCTGCCCTCCTGCTGCCCTCCTGCTGCCCTCCTGCTGCCCTCCTGCTGTCCTCCTGCTGCCCTCCTGCTGCCCTCCTGCTGCCCTCCTGCTGCCCTCATGCTGCCCTCCTGCTGCCCTCCTGCTGTCCTCCTGCTGCCCTCCTGCTGCCCTCCTGCTGCCCTCCTGCTGCCCTCCTGCTGCCCTCCTGCTGCCCTCCTGCTGCCCTCCTGCTGCCCTCCTGCTGCCCTCCTGCTGCCCTCCTGCTGCCCTCCTGCTGCCCTCCTGCTGCCCTCCTGCTGCCCTCCTGCTGCCCTCCTGCTGCCCTCCTGCTGCCCTCCTGCTGCCCTCCTGCTGCCCTCCTGCTGTCCTCCTGCTGCCCTCCTGCTGCCCTCCTGCTGCCCTCCTGCTGCCCTCATGCTGCCCTCCTGCTGCCCTCCTGCTGTCCTCCTGCTGCCCTCCTGCTGCCCTCCTGCTGTTCTCCTGCTGCCCTCCTGCTGCCCTCCTGCTGCCCTCCTGCTGCCCTCCTGCTGCCCTCCTGCTGCCCTCCTGCTGCCCTCCTGCTGCCCTCCTGCTGCCCTCCTGCTGCCCTCCTGCTGCCCTCCTGCTGCCCTCCTGCTGCCCTCCTGCTGCCCTCCTGCTGCCCTCCTGCTGCCCTCCTGCTGCCCTCCTGCTGCCCTCCTGCTGCCCTCCTGCTGCCCTCCTGCTGCCCTCCTGCTGTCCTCCTGCTGTCCTCCTGCTGCCCTCCTGCTGCCCTCCTGCTGCCCTCCTGCTGCCCTCCTGCTGCCCTCCTGCTGCCCTCCTGCTGCCCTCCTGCTGCCCTCCTGCTGCCCTCCTGCTGCCCTCCTGCTGCCCTCCTGCTGCCCTCCTGCTGCCCTCCTGCTGCCCTCCTGCTGCCCTCCTGCTGCCCTCCTGCTGCCCTCCTGCTGCCCTCCTGCTGGCCTCCTGCTGCCCTCCTGCTGCCCTCCTGCTGCCCTCCTGCTGCCCTCCTGCTGCCCTCCTGCTGCCCTCCTGCTGCCCTCCTGCTGCCCTCCTGCTGCCCTCCTGCTGCCCTCCTGCTGTCCTCCTGCTGCCCTCCTGCTGTCACCCTGCTGTCACCCTGCTGCTCATGTGCCATCATTGTGTGTGTGTAGCGCGCACATGACATGTTCGTAACCCCTGACCCCCGGTGCATGTCACCATCCGTGCGTGCGTGTGTGGCAGCCATCCACCGCTTGGACCGCTCTGTGTCGGGCCTTCTCATTCTCGCCAAGTCTGCTGCTGCTGCTGAGACCTTCCGACTGCAGGCACGCCCACACACACACACGCCCACACACACGCCCTCACACACGCCCACACACACGCCCACACACACGCCCACACACACGCCCACACACACGCCCACACACACACCCACACACACGCCCACACACACGCCCACACCACACGCCCACACCACACACACGCACACACACACGCCCACACCACACACACGCCCACACACACGCCCACACGCAGTGGATCATGTGCACCATCCATGCACACGTGGCAGCAATTTCTCCCATGCCTGACTGCCTCGTCCAGCACACACAGGCATTGGCATGGTTGGCCCCCGTCCTCCCTGTGTGTGCATGCGGTGCAGATGATGAGTGGGCAGATCCGCAAGCAGTACATCGCGCGGGTCACCGGCACCTTCCCTCCCAACACTGTTCGTTCTCTCCTGCCCTGCTCACCCCTGCCGTCTTCTCCCCCCTGTCTGCCTGCTCGACTCATGCATTCTGACCGCCAATCCCATGCTCTTCTCTTGCTTGCCTGCCCACTTTGTATCTGCCTATGCCTCCCCTGGTGCTCACTAATCTGGTGGCCGGCTGTCCTAACTCTGTCTCCATCCCTGTGCGTTTACGTCCGTGTGCCGCGCGCCGGTGTTGGTGGGCAGGTGGAGGTGTGTGCGCCAGTGGTGTACGATGCGCGCATGGGCGTCAGCCGTGTGGTCTCCACACCTGCACCTGCACCCCAGTCGGACCAGCACCTCACAGCACTGCAGGTGTGTGCGCCTGTGGCCTTGGCTTGCACCCCACTCATGGCTGCGTCATGTCCTTCTCTGCTCTGCTCCTGGCCTTGTTTTTGCTCCTGCTTTCTTGGTGGTGCTGTTTGGCGTGTGGAGCATCCGTATGTGCTCAGCTCCCTACCTTCTCATCCACTTGCCTCCTCTGCAACTCTCATTCCCGTATGTTCCCCTCTTGGCATTAGTCTATGCGCGATAAGGAAAGTGTGGAACAAGAGGGAAAGATGGAGGAGAGAGATGTAGGGGAGCAGACGGAGAAAGTTGGGAAATGTGATGGTGAGGAGAAAGAAGCTAGGCCAAGAAAGGCACGTGATGTGAGGAGGGCAAAGGCGATGGCAAAGAGGCAGGCCAGGGCGCAGGCAAAGGGTGCGGAGAGGGGTGGTGGAGAGGGTGCAGAGGACGACAAGGAGAAGGCGGCAGTGACGGTGTTTGAGCGGCAGGCGGTGGCGGGCGATGGCACGTACAGCATTGTGCGCTGCTCGCCCCGCACCGGCCGCACCCACCAGGTGGGTCTGGCACTGCTGCTGTGCTGTGCAGGGAAGGGGAGGGTGTCCGTTGGAGAGGGAAAGGATTCTCAGGTTTCAAGGCCTTAAACACAGGACTGTATGTTGCTGCAACCCTTATCCCTTGCACTTTCCCTCCTCCCTGATTGGGCTTTCCTGTCCACGTGCATGGTGCGTGTCAGATCCGAGTGCATCTGCAGCATGTGGGCCACCCCGTGGGCAACGATGACCTCTACCTGCCACCGCCACCCCATGCGCCCTCTGCCCTGCAGCCCCTCTCCTTAACACGCCTCACCTCCTCCTCTTCGCCGTCTACTGCCTTGAGCTCTCTGCCGGACAAGCTTGTAACCACTCCTGCCTCACATGCTGCTGCTGCTCATTGCAACGATGATGATAATCGCAGAAGCAGTGATGGTGCCTCAGGTGCTGAGGTGAAAGGGAGCGGCAGAGGCATGCATAGAGCAGACGGCAGGGATGTGCTGCAGGAAGCACGTGGCGTGGAGGGCCGTGTGAGTGAGAGAGAGGGAAGACTGTTGGGGGTGCATGATGGCAGTAAAGGGGGCAATTGCAGTGCATCTGATGACTTGGGTACTGTGAGGATGTGTGGGGAAGGGGAGAGAGCATGCAAGGCAGCGCGAGTGCAGCAGAGCGAGTGCGATGGAGCTGCACCATCCCCTGGACGCCTGAACACGCACTTGGGGGGAGAGGAAGGGGGCGAGGCAAAGGAGCAGGAGAGAGGGAATGGTTTAGCCGCACAAGGTGCACCTTCCTGTGGAGACGAGCATGGCGCAGCAGGTGCCACTGGGGGGGGGTCACACATTGTGAGGGGCGTTACCAAGGAGGAGGGCATTGGGGCGAATGCAATCGAGACGGTGTTGAATGAGGGGGTTACAGAGGGAGGAGTGAAGGAAGCGGAGGGCAAGGGAGAGGCAGTGAAGGTGGTGGTGGAGACGGCAGAGGGCAGTGCGGCAGCAGCAGCACATCCATCACCTGTCGCACTCCCTTCTATCCCTCAGCATCTCACCGACCCTCTCTGTCCACACTGCCCCCTCATCCCTGCAGAGTCAGTGCCCACTGCCCACCCTTACATGTTCCCCTTCGCTTCCCGCATATGACCCATCGTTGCTGTATTTTCTGCTACACATACACATCCCAAGTTTTTGCTGCCTGTGCTTTCGCAAACCTTCTCCCTACTTGTACTCAGGGGCGTGCAAGTGGAGCAACACCTGTGGCTGCACTGCTGCCGTTACTCGGGTCCTGACTGGTGCTTTGAATGCCCCATGCCACCTTGGGCTCACCTCTGATCCAAGGCCGTGCTTTCCGTGCCGCCGTATCACATTGCCCAGATATGCTACTCGTCCAGGGTTGAGACCACCGAGTACCCAGTTTTCTTGGTGTGGGCAGTATGGAAAAGGGGGAGGGAGACGGAGGGAAGGGGAGAGAAGGGGAGAGAAGGGGAGAGAAGGTGGGGAATGGGGAGGGGATGGAGGAAGCTGGGGGAGAGGATGAGGGTGAGGGAGGGGAGGGGAGGGGGGTGAGGAAAAAAAAGCTGACATTTCTACCGAAAGTACCTATTCACTAATCACGATTTACAACAACACAAGGTGTCGTACACATTGGCGAATCACTTCTAGTAGTATGCTACAAGAATAGTACAGTCCAGGAGTTTCCGACACTCCAAGGGTGCCAGCAGATTCAGTTCAAGTGCCCGAAAAACGTTGCTGTAGAGTAATATAAAGTGATGGACATCTAGATCAAATTGCGAATGTAGAATCTAAATCAATTATTTTCCACAGCAAGGGTACATACAGCGACGAAGGGAAGGGGGGTTGTTATAGTAGTCATCCACTTTTCATGAAGCAAATGTAAGAATATGTATATATGTATATCATTTTTAATATCTTGTTCCACCGTCTGTTGCAGAGAGCACAATTGTTTGGCGCGCTAGGATTTGGTTGCTTTTGTGAATGGGTGGTCGATGCCCAATTATCGTCTGACAAGCAACATATAGGTTCATGGCTGACTCCGACACGTGGTGCGCGGTTGAGCCCAACTATCATCCGACAGGTGCCGAGCCTGGATCGGCCCATGAAGTTGCGTCAAACGCGGATGGACGGACGGCTCGAGATACAAGTTTTTTCATGAAGGAAACCTCTTTTCTCCCGCCTTTCTGTCTGATGTGGTTACCATGCCGCTGTCGTCTTCGGGCAGAGGAATCCTGAATCCACGCGAACCAGTTGCCCCTCCACTAGCAACTGGGATCTCACCCACCCCCCATCAAATTCACTTGGTCTCCCCTTGCTAGGACATTCCAGTGGCATCACCTAGCCGATCTCACAAACGCAGTAAGCCCCGAGTCTGCGTCGCCTTTCCTGCGACCTGATATGGTCGTTGACAGTGTTCGGCTCGCCGAGACGTCCTTTGGGATCGCTGGTCTTGCACTGCTTGCCGCTTTTCTTTAGTCCAATTCTCGCGCAGCAATCATCACATTATAGTTCCGCCATGGTTCGCCGGGTGGATTGTCTGGCCCGATCGGGTTTCCGGGAGCAGATGATTGACGCGCTTGTGTTTTCGCTCGCAGTCTACGAATCCTCGCCCGAGAAGGTCCTTTCGGTCCTTAAATCGAAGTACGATCTCCCCGTGGGTGCTCTGGATTTGCTGCACCTACCTGATTTTCCAGGTGGCAGCCAGGCGCAGCAGCCTATACTGGTGGGTCGCAGCACGCACGGGCACGTGGTAGTGGCGTGCAGAGGAACAGCGGATGCGTGGGATATCCTGCAGGATCTCAAGATCTTCCCCCGAGGCATTCGTGGGGTCGGGTGTGGCACGGCGCACATGGGATTCGTGGAGCGGGCTGAGAGCGTCTGCGTGGAGCCGTTGCTTCGACTGCTGGCCGACGGGCATCGCCTCGTCTTCACGGGTCACTCTTTGGGCGGCGCCGTCTCCGCGTTGCTGGCTCTGCGCCTGCTGGAAGCAGCGGAGTCGCGCGGTCTCTGCACGCACAAAGGCCAGGTGCAGTGCGTCACGTTCGGCGCGCCGCTGTTCGCGAGCCCCAGCCTGGCGGAGCTGATCAACGACAAGTACCGCGACGTGTACAGCCACGTCGTCTCCAAGAACGACGTCGTGCCCCGACTCGTTCCGCTCGTCGCGCTCCTTCAGCGCGTCGCGGGTGGTGGGGGCGCCACCGAGCCCATGGAGGCGTTGCGCCTCGCCCGATTCGCGCTGGGTCTGCTCCAGCGGGCCACCAAGATCCCCTTCGCGTCCGCCTTGCAGGCCGCAGAGTCGTTGCTGCCGGGCCCCCTCAGGCTTGTGCTGTCGGGGGCGTGTCAATTGCTGTGGCCAGCGCGCACGCCGCAGCAGTACGCGTTCGCGGGCAACTTCCTGCTGCTGGACCCCATGGCGGAGGCCACGGAGGGCGCCGTGCACCTGGCGCAGGCGGAGGACCTCAGCAGCTGCGTGCGCGAGGCGAGCTTTGCGCTGGAGATCCACTTCGACGTCTTCAACCACCACCTGCTCTCCACCTACCAGACCGGCGTCACCAAAGGAATTCGATCGCGAATGCTCGCGCACCTCGCGGCGGGCAACGCGGCGGTTCCTGTACCGTCCGCTCCGGCTGCTTGCCAGGGAACGGTGGCGTCGGCAGCGACATCATCAGCGACGGTGGGGCAGGCGGTGCTGTCGAGTCTGGAAGGGTTCGAGCAGGTCAAGAGCAAGGGGTTGAATCGGCTGCGGCGGACCCGATCGGATCTGGTGTCACTGGAGGGGCGCGTCGCTCCGTTCCTGCCCATCATGGAGTGCCACCGTGCCGCCGACGCTGCCGCCAACTCGTCGTCCGTCGCCCGGGAAGCAGACACGCCTGGCACTAGTCAGCGCGCCACGCCGCCTCTGCAGCTGTGTGCGCGCAGCATGAGCTTCTCGCGCGCTGCCGGGCTTTCAAGATGCGCGGATGCGCGTTCCAGCGTGAATGGGAAAGACGGCGTGGACGAAAAAGAAGTGGCCGCCGCTGCGCGCTGGTGCTCGGTATGCAGAGCAGCGACTTCCGGTGACGCCGCGGGCAGCAAGGCCGTGGTAGCCGCCTCAACATTACAGGCGGGCGCGAAGAAGCGGCGATGGCGGTTTGGGTGGTTCCTGTCGACGGTGTTCCGCGTGTCGCAGCGCCTGCGGTCGCTCTCCACCTTGTCGCTCCTCCTCGGCGCCGCCAGGGTCGCCCTGGGCTGCCCGCTCTTCTGACCGTTCCACTGGGCCGCGGAACCCGCCGCTGCGCCGTGGCACACCTGCTGCGCGCCATGCGTTGATGCCATCAGCCACGAGCAACCACCAACCATCATCAGCCACCAACCAACCACCAACCAAGACACGTTTTCCAGGGTCGATAAGCGGTTTGCTGGACGAGATTTTTTGTGTCCACTCCAGTCATCGTATGCCTTGCCTGACCGGCGCCATCACATGCGCTGCCCCGTATCATCACATGCGGTCCCATCACATTATCTGCTCCGTACCATCACATCCTATGCTCCATAGCATCACATGCTCTGCCCCATACCATCACATGCTCTGCTCCATACCATCACATGCTCTGCTCCATACCATCACATGCTCTGCCCCATACCATCACATCTCCTGGCTGATGCCATCAAATGGCCTTGCTCTCTCTCCTGCTGCCGTCCCTGGCCAGCTGCATGCAAGTCTCTGCTGTACCACAAATCGATCCTTCATCATCGCATCACTGGTCAAGCCGTCACCTGCTCATGTGAATATCACCTCTCACTCTGTTGTTCGACTGTGTCGCAGCATCATACACCTATACTTTGCTGCCATGCTGCAGCAATCATACAACTGCGCATCCCCATAATAGAGCTGGGTATCGCCAAATCCTCCATCAACTCTACCACCATTCTTACCAACCCTACCACCATCGCATGCACAATTGCACCCCTTCACCCCTCACCGACCACCCTCACTTAACCTCCTTGCTTCGCTTACCATCTGCACTCTGCACAGCCCACCACCACCACCTCCGCACTGTGCCAGTGGGGAATGTATGGTTTGTCCTTTCGTGATTTACAACCATTGGAGTAGCCATTTTCGGTGGTATTTGCACTCACCTCGGTGCTTCCGCTGGATGAGCAAATTTCAAATTATTATAATTTTTAAACACATTGATGTTTTTCAAAATTGTGTATTGTGAAAGCGAAGCTGACTGTACCGAATATTTGGCAGCGTCGAAGCGCGCTAAACGCCCTTCTCCAACTACAAAAACCGTGGGTTGGAGTTCATTCCCTCCACCCACATTTCTCGTTTTCCAACGGCTCAATCAACATTTCCGTTCGAGTAGTTCTTTTCCCCGTCCAAGCTGGCTAGAACTCGCACCCTTCCCAGAGGCGAGTCACCCTCAACACTTCTGCAAGACATTTTCAACCACAATCGATCTACAATGGCGTCTACGCCGGCACTTAACCGCGTCAATTCGTCTGCGCCGGTTTCCGACTCCGACCGTAACGCCCGAGAAATGACGGGCGATCGCCGTAACAAGCGGCGGGCAGAGGAAGGATCGCCCGCCCCAACTGCCGTGGACGTGCTGTTGGGCGGGCTCGAGGTCAACAAAAACTCGAGCCCGCCCCAGCAGCAGCACCCCTCGGCCCCTGTGGCGCCTGTGGCGCCTGTGGCGCCTGAGGCGCGTGTGGCGCAAGTGGCGACGGCGGCACCTGCAGCACCTGGGGTGCCACACGCGCCTGACGCGGAGCACACGCCGGCGCCTGTGGCTGGACCGTCGCGTCAGCGCCAGAGGCGCCGAACATCGACTTCTTCTGACGCGACGACCCCGGCGTTGACCAACGCGTTGACTCCGGACCAGGTCGCTGCGCTTCTGTCCCCGTTACAGCAACAACCCGCCAGCGTTACAGCTACGGAAATTGCACAACCCGCGGCGTCTGCATCTGCTAACAAGGAAAACGCAAAAAAAGAAAAAGGAGCGCGAGGAACAACGGCGAACCGGCACAACAAGGAAGCACCAGCCAGCATCCCACCTGCGCCAGCGGCCGACAACGACACCGACGGCTCCGACGACGATGATGGTGAGGCTCCGGTCCATACCGCAAATTTTCATTCCATGGAGCATCTTCCCCCCCTCCCCTCTACTACTAACACCACTTGGTCGGCGGCGACGTTCAACGACGAGCACGTGCGGGCGAAAGCGGAGATTCTGGAGGACATGCGGGCCTACCTGAAACACGCAGAGCACAAGCTGCAGCACGGCGACTCGGCGGGCGGACTCGAAATGGTCGTCGCCGCCCTCGACGACATTTCCGCGCGCTTCGACATGTTTCAAGTCGAAGACGCATCCGACGACCGCGTTGCCAAGCGCTACAAGATGTACCTGGAGAAAAGCCTTCTCACCTCGCGGCCGTTCAAGCAAGCCGTCGCGGACGTGGCTGCCATGGACCGAGCGGCGGGCGCTCACGCTCGCTCCCACCGTGGTGGAAACCACGGCGCCAAGGCGTTCGCCCCAAAACGTGGCCCTCCAACCTCGGGCAACTTCCAAGGCTTTCGTGGTTCGTGTTTCCGCTGCGGACAGCCAGGCCACGTCGCCAATGCCTGCCCTCGGAATGGGCATGGGGGCCAAGGACCCGCACCGGTTGTGTAAGGTTCGGGCTATGGTGAAGCGCGCCTCTAGGCGCGATGCACGGTGCACTTTTGAGTGCTTAGACCGTGGGCAGCCTAGTAGGGCTTGCGGTGGCCATGGCCAGCCCTAGGATAGGGTGGTAGAAGTTGGCCATAGGCCTAGCTTTGGGGAAGAGGAAGAATGCCTCTCGGTCCCCTAGGATAGGGTAATAAAGTATGGCCGTAGGTCTAGCTTTGGGGAAGAGGAAGAATGCCTCTCGGTCCCCCGTATGCCCCAATTGATGGGATGAGAAACATGCTAGTAGGCATGACAATGTATGACCATGAGAGATAGGGATTTTATTAAAGGCCCCTCTTGTTTGTCACGGATTAAAAAAAAAAAAAAAAAAAAAAAAAAAAGGAGAAGGGGAGAGGGAGAAAAAGAGAGTACGTACGCTCCTCACTCAAACCGCCACCATGCATGGCAAGGATGAGCAGCCCTGGTTCAACCGTTGGAAGCCCAAAAAGGGTGAGAAGGAGCAAGGGGGGGGGAGTAGGGCATAGCGATGTCGCCTAGCCCAAGTAAAGGCACGCGCGAAAAGACACGAGCTCATGACAAGCGAAGCATGCAAATGCTCAAACAACAATGGAAACACATCCAAAAAGAGAGGGAGAGAGAAAGAGCGAGAGAGAGAGAGAGAGAGAGAGAGAGAGAGAGAGAGAGAGAGAGAGAGAGAGAGAGAGAGAGAGAGAGAGAGAGAGAGAGAGAGCACACGAGGGAAGCATGATCATGGTCCCAAGCATCAATCCTCCAGAAAAAAAAAAAAAAAAAAAAACGAGGGGAGGGAAAAGGAGAGAGTATGAGAAAGAGTTTGCCAAGGTGCGATCGGACGCCCTATATGGAATGACGACAAACCGTCCGTATGGTCCTCACTGTTGACGGTTCATTTTTCGGGTTGCAATGAGAACGATGCCAAATTATAAGGACAAGAAAGCAAGCTTTCTCAATAGGGCAAATTGAGAAAGCTTGCTTTCTTTTGATTGCAATGGCAACGAGCTTCGTTTTAAATGGGCATTACACATGACAACATGCAATTTTTGCTAGGGTGGGTGGGTGGGTGGGGAAATAAGACATTTGAAATTTGAGTGAAGACGTGGGTGGAGGCCAAATGACTTCCACCCCTTGCTATATAGTTAGCGAAGAGCTTCTAACACTTCTCCGTTGCCAGTGCTGCATTACAAGCAGCTTCGCTTTCAAAATACACATTTTTAGAAAGTGTTACACACTTTAAAAAAAAATCATTTGTTGGGATGTAGTGATAAGCTTTAAGTACATTCGTACAATGTGTAAGATTTTCCAAAGTTGGCCGTATACCGTATGTGGAATCACGATGCATTCCAGCTTGGAGTCTTAAAGCGTGTTCCTAGTGCCTCTTGTCAGGCTACCCTACGGTATATCAGATTTGTGCTAACTCAGAGATTTTCGTTATTAAAATTAAACTTCAGACTTGTACACCCACATGTGTGAAACCTTTTGTTTCGATGTGAAGTTTTATGAGAAGGCATTCTTGTATGCTGCAGGAGCCGACTCTACCGAGTACGAAGTTGAAGAGTCAGAAGAGCCAAAGCGACGCAGCAACCGTCAGACCAAGACCGATGCAAGCAGAAACATTTGAAGTGATAAGAGCGGGAACAGGTTTTGAACGGGTTCCCACGCCGCACGGTTTAGAATTCGGTTGTAATAAGGGAATGTACCCCTTAGAGTACACGGCTAGTCTAGGTCCTTTCGTATTCCTTAGTACTCTTATATAAACTCGATGTATGCATGCTATTACCGTATCAACTCAGTCATTTACATTCACTCTGACCTGAGATTCAAACTTCCGCTGCAATACTACTCCGCGATCAACCCTGAGCGATCCTTTGCTAAGTCCCACTTGGGATTGTAACATGGTATGAGAGCTACTCAGGGATTCTTCGCAACTCCACTACCGTGGAATTCGCCGAATCAAGACCTGGCGAGCGGCACACGCTCCAAGACCAAGATGGCCGGAGGATCCGGAGGCCAAGCAAATCTGACGGCTGAAGGACAACCCAATCCAGCTGCGACAAGTGAGGCGACAACCACAATCGGCACTGCCGCCCTCGAGCAAATTTTCGCTCGACTTTCAACTACGGAGAAAGAACTCCAAGAACTGCGCAAAGGCGATGCGGGAATCTCTTCCCAACCAGCACAACCTGGACAACCGGCTGAGAAAAGCCGTGATACCGCCGCGCACACCTTCTCCCTCGACACAGACAAATCAGCAACAACTGCCCCCCGTCCAAGTAATGAGGCTATCAACTCTGCGCAAACACGCTTCCTCAGCGTTTCAAAGATTAAGACTACTGTTGCGTTTGACGGCAAGGATTTTTACACATGGAGTTTTGAGCTGGAGCTCCTCCTACAAACGGTGTAGATCTACCATTACTTCGACGGCTCCTATCCTAAACCGGTGGAAAACACCGACGTCGCCAGGGCTTAGTACTACAGTGAGTCCCTCATGGCTTACAGTGTGCTGCTACGCAACATGATGCCTGCGGAACAACTCAACATACGCACCTACAAAGAGAGCACCGCTCCAGCAATG